GGACCTTCAAACATTTTTCGCCACAGGCGATTGCAGAGTCTGAATATTATTAAACGGGGACGAAGCCCGTCTATTGTGCATCGACGGGCTTCTAATGGGCTGCTGCAACTTAAGCCCATTCTTGCCACCAGCATTCAAACTGGCCCGGCCCGCGTTCATGGCCTGGAAATACGAACTCGAGCAGGCCAAGTCCTTCAAGTTGATCAGAGGCTCTATAGCCTCAACTACCTCACTCATTGCAGGCCTCATCTTCGCATCCCTGCTGAGGCAACGGGCCGCCATCTGGACAGCATGCTGGGCGGCCCGAATCGAAAAACGACCCTCGAGAAGTGGGTCCACCAGCCTGTAGAATCTCCTCCTTTCTGCCAAGTTGGGCCTGGCCCACTCCACTAAGTTCTGCTCGTTGATGGGCCGGGTTTTGTCCATTGACCTTCGTCCGGTCAATATTTCGAGGAGCACGACTCCAAAACTGTATACGTCACTCTTAGCCGTCAAGTGTCCTGTCATAAAAATTTCTCAACTAAATTAATTCGTTGATGATTAGTAAAAACAATGTGCAATGTATTTGAAACTTTTTATGTTTTTTCTGATATTTATAACTGATAAATAACTTAAGGATTTATAAATAATTTTGCACACCTGTCATTACATACTCTGGGGCGGCATATCCGTATGTTCCCATCACACGAGTCGAAACGTGCGTTTTATCGCCTTCAGGGGCATCTTTGGCAAGCCCGAAATCGGATAGCTTTGCATTATAATCCTAGACCAATAATAATAAATAAATAAATGAAGATATTTCAAAATAAACGAGTGTTGTTACAAATCGTGCTGGGAATTTTATGCTACTTCACATACCACATCTAGCAGAATATTTGAAGTTTTGAAATCTCGATATATGACCGGTTTTTCAGCCTCCTCATGAAGAAAGGCGAGGCCTTTTGCAGCATTTAGTGCAATTTTCATTCTTATAGACCAAGGGAGAGGCAGTGATCCTATAAAAATTGTGAGAAAGTATGAATGAACCTTTACCGAAACATGCAAAAAAGCACAAGATGAAAATTGAAATGTTTAATAATGAGCCCATAATAAGAAACAGAAGAAAATAAGTGAATAAATAAATTG